ACATTTACTCTGTGCAATCTAACATCTACAGACCTTAAATTCCAATATAACCTATGCCAAAAACAACTTTTATTTTCTTGATGTTGTGACAGAACCCACATGCACAACACCAAGACACAAACATCTCTAACATTCCGCCCGAGTCGCGACAAAACCTTTAGCATAAAATTCAAATGTATGTCAAAGGCCCACTAACATCTGGAGAACACGCCACCTGAAAATTCTAAACATCCCCCCAGACACATACATCACCTATCAAAACTACCATCAGAAAACATTTCATCTCTCTGATACACCCTGCAACTAATTATACAATACCACCTGTTGGTTCATAACTTACACTCACCCACACCTTGACCATAAACAGAAATATCAATCTCTATCATCAAAATAAATAAAATCTTAACTAGTCATTAGTTGGCTTGTGATACTCCAAAACTGAAACTATGTAAAGTGCCAAAACAAAGCATTCACATTGTTAAACTTAGCAACAAACTAGTATTTAGGGTCCATTTAGGCCATAATTAAATACCAACTTACCTCGTGTATAATTTGTATATTTAAAAAACTTAAGATTTAATCTAAGCACTGCGCCGAAAGTGCCTAGCCATGCTATGTGGTTCTAGTGGTACAACTCTGAATAATTATTTTACCTACATGTAAATCACACAATAACCAAATTCTGTAAACTCAGCATTGTAATCCTTATAGAGAATAAACTTTTGAATTTGAATTTGAATGCACTCCTATCGAACACCCTCACCTGCAAGCTGCTGGAAGTCCAAGTCATCTCGTCCCACAAAACCTCCCTTACCCCTTCCCTTCCAACATTTTCGAGATGACTCCTACCCCGCTTTCCTTCCAAACAGATGTAAATGCTTTCCAAGTCATTCTTATTTGATCCATTCTCTCTAAATGACCAAACACCCTCAACAACACCCTCTTCAGCCCATGACTAATAATTGTATTAACTCCACACCTTCTCCTAATTTTCCACACTCTCCGAATTTTTCTGCACAATATTACCACCACACATTGCCCTTTTAGACAGACATCTCCACTGCCTCCAACAGCCTCCTCGCTGCAGAGCATTCACAACCCAAGCTTCACACCCATTATAAGATGTTGGCACTAATATACTTTCATACATTCCCTTCTTTGCCTCCATAGATAACGCTATTTTGTCCTCCACATATATCTCAACAAACCGCATCCACTACACCTTTATGACCTCACAATCAATTCCTGATTAACTCTCCATCCTTCATAAATCGTTATTACATACAGAAAATTGTCCTCCTTTAACAAAAAAAAAAAAAATCAAAAATATCCACAGCACTGGCATTGAAAACATAGATCTACATTTGGACAGTTTAAGGGTTAAATTTAATCAAGGCCATCCAGACAAGACAGAATTATTATCCTTTAAACCTTTCACTGTCTGACCCCCCCCCCAAATCCCAGAAACTCACTCTCAGTGTCGAAGAATTAAAAAAAAAAAAAAAAAAAAAAATCTTATGAAAGGTTAAAATTTCCCAATAAGTAATGTCACCGAGAATTTTAATATGATGGAAAAACTTACGACTTACGCCCACATGAAGTGTTCGCAGTCTCCTCCTCATCTCGGCGTATTTATTATACACGATCAGATCAGTCAGCGATTTCTCCTGGCAATTGTCCAAATCGACCACACAAACTCGTGGGTGTGGGGAGGGGGGGTGGGATGGGGGGGGGAGGGGAGTGGCGGGGGGGGGGAGGGTGTGTGGGGGAGAGGGGGGGGGGGGGGGGGGGGATGGGGGGGGGGGGGGGGGGGGGAGAGAGTAGATGGGGTTAAAAATAAATCAATTAATACTAGAAACCGCCCATTTTACCGATTTCAACTACCCAAAGCAAAGGTGGTCAGATAATTGCAATTTGCCAATTTCAACAAATTTCAAAATGGCTCCAGAATATACAATGCGAACATTATCTCACTCCCACTGAGTGTCACTAAATATGTCTCACAATTCTCTGTTTCATTAGACATGCTTCCAGGCCCCTATTTATTTTTACTTTTTTTGTGCTTCCATTTTGAATTTTTAATCACACAAAAAATTAAAGATTTACTGTTAAGCAGACTAATGCTTTATTAATATCATTGTGAAAATAAAGCCAACACGACTTGTGAAGCATATTAGACTGGGCAGTTGAACGATGTAACGGGACTCGGGTGACGTCATATGTTTACTCTCTTTCGAACATTTACGGCAAAAATCGATATCATTTCTGCTACACCTTGAGCCAATTTCAATGTAGTTTTCTAATGATCGTGAAACCAACCAAAAAAAATCATCTCTATTTTCTGGTGATATATCTTCCGATTCCTATCAAATGAGAACAAACCACAGAAAACGATAGTTTAGTAGTGTGGTGGGGGGGGGGGTGCATAACAAAAATTTTTTTTGTTTTTTTTTGCAACAAGTCCCTGTGAAAATATGTGACCGTCTTCCCCACCGAGGCAGGGGACCAAAAACAGAAAGTAAACATCGCAGCCTGCGATAAAGAAAATGCTTCATCACCACATAGAGGTGGGGGAATTGGGAGCGGCGTTCGATCAGCGCACAGTCGGGGGTGCGACGGACATTAGTCAGAGAATTTATGGGTATTAGTGGGGGGTGCAGTCGTGGTATAGTAACAAAATATAATACAAACAGAATACAACATTTTAGAAAAGCAATGAGTACATATGAAAGATACACAACATATCCCCTGCGGCCAAAACTGCAATATCCCCAACCTCCTCCTAAAGTGCCAGGCATAGTACTATTCCATTTCCAGACTCAAGTCCGACTATATGAAAATAACCGTTTCCCCCTAATCCCTTCACTAATTAATACCTGCTCACACTCCAATAGATCGTCAGTTCCCAATAACCATCGTCTCCATTCAACTCCTATCTAACACCTCACGCCCGCTGCTGGAAGTCCAAACCCCTCGCCCACAAAACCCCCTTTTAACCCCCCCTCTCTCCAACCCTTTGGAGGACGACCCCTCCCTCACCTTCCTTCCCCTATAGATTTATATGCTTTCCATGTCATTTACTTTGATCCTTTCTCTCTAAATGCCCAAACCCCCTCAAAAAACCCCTCTTCTGCCCTGACTAATACTTTTATTACCCCACCCCCTTCTCCAAATTTCCACACTCCAAATTTTTCTGTATAATATTTACACCACCATTGCCCTAACAAAAACCTCCCTGCCCCCCAACCGTCCCCTCCTGCGCATTTACCCCCAACTTCACCCCAAAAAGGTGTTGGTACACTATACTTTCATACATTCCCCCTTTTTTCCCTCCATACAAATGTTTTTTGATCCACAATAACTCGCCACACACCCTTTTTTTTTCCCTTTAAATTTTATATTAACCTCCCCTTTCAAAAATCCTCGCCCCGCCACTAAACCCCCAATATCGAAAAACTTCATTTTTCCCATAAAAAAATTACACCTAAAATTCATTTTAATAAAACACAGTTGGATTTTTTTTTTTCCCTCATTAACACTGTGTGGCGGGACTTTTTTTTTTTACTGTACACATGACAACACAGACACTTCTCTACAGTGGGTCTACCAGCTTTCCCCTGCAAATTTTTGAAGCCGCAGTTTTGGGGTTTTTAATACGTCACCACACTGGCTTGTAAAACTTATTTATACGGCACAACAGTAAAATTTTTAAAAAAGAACTTATTTTCAATAAAAGGTTTAAAAGTTTACAAACCTAAAAAGGGGAAGGTTCACAGGTATGCATAGCATTTCAAAACATCATAAGTAAGGCCAATACAACAAAATAAGATGAAAAAATACGAACCTGTTTTTAATTTGTGGTTTGGAAGAGTCTTTGGTCAAATCAGCATTACAGTTTTAAAGAAATGGATTAAAAACAGTAGTAAGCATGGCATTAATATTTAGAGGGTTTTGGGGTTTGAATTGCAACACAGACATTAAATAGAAGAGTCTGTGATGTCTTGATAAATGCCTTTTTTGTATATAATTGGTTTGAAGGAACACTAAGGCAGAACCCCCGATGCTATTTTATAGGTAAGGGATATTAAATGAGAAAAGTTGTGCAAAAACAAATGAATTTTTTTTTTTTTTTCAACAAGTTTTGGGCCCTCTCCCCCGAGGGAGGTGACCCAAAAAAAAAAGAAAAACCCCCAAAAAAAAAATGCTTTCATCATATTCAAAAAACTTTTACCACACTCACACATAACACGTTTTTGCGAGGTGTCAAATACAACAGTTTAAAGCATAAATATAAAAACACAACATATCCCTCCAAAATGCAATTCCCCAAACCCCCCCCTTTAAATGCAGGCATTCTACTTCCCTTTTCCCGGGCTCAAATCCCCAAATATATAAATAAAGTTTTTCCCCAATCCCTTCAAAATATTACCCTGCTCACACTCCAACAGATCGTCAGGTCCCAAATACCATTTTCCCATTTATCCTATCTAAAACGCTCACGCACGCTTGTGGAAATCCAAACCCCTCGCCACAAAACCTCCTTTGCCCCCCTCTCCAACCCTTTTGAGGACACCCCTATCTCACCTTCCTTCCCCTATATTTTTTAGTTTCAGTCTTTTACTTTATCCTTTTCTCTAAATGACCCAAAACCCCCCTCAACAACCCCTCTTCGCCCCTACTAAACTTTTTATTAACTCCACACCTTTCCTAATTTCCACACTCCGAATTTTTTGCATAATATTTACACCACAATTGCCCTTAGACATTGGAAAAAAAAAATAAAATTTGGGAGAGATTATCTAATTTTAGAGATTTTATGTATGAGCTGTGATACAAATTTAATTTTTTTTTAATATTCTACAAGTACCTGCCTGCACCTGAAGGTGGGGGGAGGTAGTTTCAATTTTTGACCGGTACAGCACACCTCTGGCAAAACAATGATTGGAAAGGGTAGATCAAAAAATTCTTTGTACAATAAAAAGGACTGACATTACACTTACTTTCCTACCAGTGCTGCAGTATTTGTATAAACAATAAACCCTGACACTGCAGCCAGGATCCCACCAATCAGACACGATCCACAGGCATCAGGAATGTGCGAACCAGTCAATGAGGTAAGACCCATGCATCCCATGGCCACAGCAACACCCATCACAGCTGCCATATCCTCCAGTAGCACAACATTGACACTTGGATCTTGTCCTCTAAAAACTAACAAAAGAGTGGAGACAGCTAAAGTTGCTACAGCAACAAGAAAACATTAAATTTCTTACACTTAATATTCACCCATTAACCATTTTTTTAACTACTGTATTTCTAGTACAGTTTACTGTTTAATGTCAATCATCATTAAGCCACTGTAGTGCAATATGTGTGAGAGAAGTATCACAGTAAGTTTATATTAGTCTATTTAGTAATGCCTGGTGAATGATGTGAGTTAAGATTTACACAATACATTAGTGTTTCACTAAACTGACAATGATATTCATTTATAAACAATTTACAATATCCCTACCTCATGAAAAAGTAATAATAATAATAACAATAATAATAATAATTTTATCTGAGCATGATACATGTTTGTACAAAGGAGTATAACAAATGGGTGCGCATGCCAAAAGCCCCTTTATATGTAGAGCATTTTGAGCAAACTTAACACTAACTTAAGATTAATAAGGCAATAACAGTGCAGTAATTGTACATATGGTCATTAGGTGTAAACAGTTGTGATGATATTTCCAATGTACACACATTATTTCCACTTGAATAGTTTATGTACATTTTCAGGTAACTATTATTAACTAATATGAAGTAAATCACATAGTTGATAGACTATTGCCATTTTATCCCTATACACATATACTGTATAATTTAATCTAATAAAAAGGATTAGTTACCATATTCAGTGAATGACATCTGTTGTTCCTGTGCTCCTTTCCTGATGGCATGAACTGCCATGAGAAGTGTACCACCCTCTGTTATCATTGACCCTCCTAGGATATAAAAAGCCCAGTAAAGGGGTAACACCTGCAAAAAAAAAAAAAAAAAAAATGTAAAAACCATTCATTACATTCATCAACAGACTAATAATAAGATGGAAAGTTAATGTGATATGATTAGGCCAGGAAAAGAAATACATATCTAACAGTTAGAAGTCCTCTCCTTTCATGAACACTATAGCAATAATGAATTAATGACTCTTGACAAAATTCTTACACACATTCCCTGAGGCTGTGATGTACTGAATAGTCTGAATTGTAAATACAATTACAGATTTTTTAATACAAGCTGGTGATAATAGTTATGGAGGTCTCAAAACTGGTGCTATGCTCGAAAACGATTAAGCTCAGATTTACCAAGCTAGCTGTATTTATGATGTAAGTCTGTTCAATGCTGGCATTCTCTTTTAGAATATTCCAAAGTTCAATTGTTTGGCCTTCACACATTCAACACAACAATTAACTGCCTATTTTCCAGTCTGGCTAGTGACTCCTCAGTCATCTGCCCACTAACTGGATGAGTGGATGGTAATGAAGCTCAGTACTGTATATTGTACTGCATACTGACTGCTGTGTAACTGAAAGGGGTATCCATAACTATATTGGAAGAGGCAGTCTTGAGTTATCACACAAAGGTGAAAAAGAACCAGCAAGTCATATCTCAGGTGAGTCATAAACTCATAATTGACTAAAATAAAACTACTGAACTGCAATTTCTTTTAAATAAATATATTAACAATATTAACTGCATTGTAACTCATTTGCCACAATTATCGTAAAGGTACCTTTTTTTTTTTAATCAGTCAAAGAGAAGGAGTTTTTATAATTTTATGAAGTTTAGTAATGTGGATAAGAAAAGGTGCATTTATTTCATTTTATTAATCAGAGGCACTGAATTTTTATACATATGGATATGTGGAGCATGTATGGGGTTGAAAAAAAAAGGAAAAAAAAATTAACCTTAAACTGTCCAAACACAGATCTACATTTTTACTGCCAGCACTCTAAATATTTTGATTTTTTTTTTAAATTAAAGAGGACACTTTTCAGTGTGTTATAAGACCCCCCAAAAAAATTTTAAGACCTGTATGTACTTACCGAGATATTAGGCCGCGAAGCTGGCGCTGGATGCTCATCTGATGGCAACATCAAGTCCTGCTGCTTGCAGAAGTGTTGCCGATATACTTTTTTTCTCGTTTTTATTTGAATTTATATAATTTTTATGTTCTGATAATTACAATTTATAATAGTTCTTGTGATTTCATAGCCAACCTTTGTTCTGACACTAATATTAGGTACTGAATAGTACTCAAATAGTCACAATCACACTGACAGGTGAATATTTTCACCTGCCTTGGTCATTTACTATTGTCTAAAAATATATTCAAAGTATTTATAGGTCTCAGCAATCTTTTAGACATGGTGGAGTATACATGAAACTCCTTAAACCATGGTGTTTATGACGAGTGTCAATAAACTGCTGACACTGCAGCAGCTGAGTGACGCTGATGATCGTGCACTGCTCCAGGGAACCTTGGCTTTATTTTTCACTGTTACACACAAACATGTCTGTCTGTCTGTCTGTGTGTCCATCTCTCTATCTGTCTGTCTAGCTCTGCTTCCCTGTCTTTCTGTCTGCCTGCATGTGTCTGTCTTTCTGCCTGCTTGTCTCTGTCTCAGAGAGCGGCTCATAAACCAACAGGTATTACACACGATGCAAAGTTGTCACGTCTCATTCCTGATCAAGTAAAAAATGTGTATTACTTGCCAAACATGATTATTATGTTTTATATCTACAAGAACTGTATAGCACTTTGCCTGGAATTTTTGGGTTATCCTAGGTAATTTACACTATGCATAATAACTGTACTTGTATACCTGAGAGAGACAGAGATAGTAGATGAATGGTTCAGAGAACCGACACGTTGATAAATTAGACACACATGCAACTCTTGGGTATCTTTATTGAGGAAACATTTCGCCAGACAGTGGCTTCATCAGTCCATATAAAGGAGAAACGTGAAGAACAGGAGGAGAATAAGGTCAGTCCCTCAACCTTGAGTTGATGTGGTCAGTCCATCAATCTTGAATAGAATACAGCATATGTGTGTGGAGAAGTCACTTATATACCATAGGCAGGAGAGGTGCAGCAGACACAGGTGGTGTCACATTTGTTCAATATGGAAGTAGGTCATGCCCAAGGGTTAGGCAAGTGAAGAATTCCCAAGTATTAAGATCCAAAGAAGTTGCAGTGTCTGACAGGATTGAGGGACTGATTACCTCATTCTCCTCCTGTTCTTCACGTTTCTCCTTTGTATGGACTGATGAAGCCACTGCGTGGCGAAACGTTTCCTCAATAGAGATACCCAAGAGTTGCACATGTGTCTAATTTATCAACGTGTCGGTTCTCTGAAACATTCAGCTACTAACTCTGTCTCTCTCAGGCACACATAAGTCCAGTTATTATGCATAGTGTAAATTACCTAGGATAACCCAAAAATTCCAGGCAAAGTGCTATACAGTTCTTGTAGATATAAAACATAATAATCATGTCTGGCAAGTAATACACATTTTTTACTTGATCAGAAATAAGACGTGACGCCTTTGCATCGTGTGTAACACCTGTTGGTTTACGAGCCGCTCTCTGAGACAGACACACGCAGGCAGACAGAAAGACAGAGAAGCAGAGCTAGACAGACAGATCATCACTTTCCTCATAAAATGGGGGTGTTAATATGACATGACATCAGTGAATCCCTGGTGTTTGCCATGTATTTGCTCTAGCTGGCACTCAATTGACCTGGTACTCCCACAAGGTACTAAGTGGTCCCAGATATATAAAATACTGCGCACACCGAATGTTAAGACCCATTCTATACTGACCAGGCATCTCAGGCCAATTGTGCCAAATTTGAAGGCAGGAAAATAAAACATAAATAAAGTACAAAGATAGCCACTATCATGCAGAGGCATTTCAGGTAAACTAATCCTAATACATAGTAACTAATTAAAACTAGATAAGATAATAGTACATAGTAATTATACTTAAAACTAAACATGGAATAGTGGTTAGCTGTTTTACAATCTTGCTTGAACTTAATAAATCTTATGTAAACTTAGTACAAAGTCTAACTTACAAGTAATGGTGCAGGTGGTAATATTTTAAGGAATGGCAGAATTAAAAGCCAGGAAGTCACATGATAAGATTAATTAGCAGATGTTTAGGCAGGTTTGGTTAATACAGTGGACCCCCGGTTTGCGATATTAATCCGTTCCAGAGAGCTCATGGTAACCCAAAATTATCGAAAAGCGAATCAATTTTCCCCATAAGAAATAATGGAAATCAAATTAATCCGTGCAAGACACCCAAAAGTATGAAAAAAAAATTTTACCACATGAAATATTAAGTTTAATGCACACAAACTGAAGAAGACATGCAATAGAATACATGACACTTACCTTTAATGAAGATCTGGTGATGATTGATGGGATGGGAGGAGGGGAGAGTGTTGAAGTATTTAATGTTTAGAAGGGGAATCCCCTTCCATTAGGACTTGAGGTAGCAAGTCCTTTTCCGGGGTTACTTCCCTTCTTTTAATGCCAGTAGGACCAGCTTTAGTCACTGGACCTCTGTCGCATAACAAATCTGTCCATAGAGCTCTGTACCTCCCATTCCTTTACGATTTGTCTAAAATGGGCCACAACATTGTCATTGTAATAGTCACCAGCACGGCTTGCAATAGCTGTGTTAGGGTGATTTTCATTCATAAAGGTTTGCAGTTCAACCCACTTTGGGACACATTTTTCCCTTTAAATTTTTTGAAATAGGCACAATGGATTCCACAACTGGCATAGGCTTCTCAGGGTTAGCCCCAAACCCTTCAAAATCTTTCTTAATTTCCATACTAATTCTCACCCTTTTTACCACAGGGTTGGCACTAGAAGCTTTCTTGGGGCCCATGGTGACTTATTTTCCAGAAACAAGCACCAAACACACTGTGATAATATGGAATGTACCGAATGTATCCTTAGATGCGAGCACACTGGCTGGCTTGTAAACACTGGCACACACGGGGCAGTTCAGGCCACACGTGGACACGTCTTGGACGAATCGCGTAAACTGGGTTTTTTAACGGGAACCGAGGCAAAATTTTTGCGTTAAAATGTATCGAATACCGGATTTATCGGATACCGATGGCATCGCAAACCGGGGGTCCACTGTATTGAGAAACAAAATGATTTTATGGATTGGCAGAATTAAGAGCCTAGAGGTCACATGATAAAACTAGTCAGCAGATGTTTGGTTGATTTGGTTAATATTGTAAGATAAGATGATTTTTTAGCAAAGTTCTAAATTTATAAGCTGTCTGGGGATCCTTAAACCTGTTCCGTAGTGAGTTCCAGATCTTCGGGCCTTTTATGTGCATAGTGTTCTTGCATAGTGAGAGTCAGACTCGAGGGATGCTGATAAGTGCCTTATGTTGAAAAGTGCCTCGACAGTTGTCAAGTAGTAGTTTTAGGGGAGGGTTTACAGTGGAGTTTAAGGTTCTGTATATGTAGTAGGCACAATAATAAGAGTGTACGTCTTGTATATTTAGCAAGTTGAGTCTTTTGAAAAGTGGTGGGGTGTACTGTCTAGCACAGGAGCTGGTTATCACCCGCACAAAAGCTTTTTGTTGGATTATTAAGGGTCTAAAGGTGGTTGGCAGTGGTTGAGCCCCAGGCACAAATACCATAGGTGAGGTAAGGATATATTAGAAAGTGGTACAGGGTAAGGAGAGTCATTTGTGGTACATTGTATTGAAATTTGGAAAGGATTCCTACTGATTTGGAAATTTTCTTGGCTATGTGATGGGTATGGGACTGAAATTTAAGATTACAGTCAAGAAGACGACCTAGAAATTTGCCCACCGTGTGTCTTGATATAGGGGAACCATTTAACAGTATGTTGAGTTGAATATTTGAGGCTGTGTTGCCAAACAGCATGAAGTATGTTTTATCTATGCTGAGAGTGAGTTTGTTGGTTGT